AACTTCAGAAGAAATGAAACGTCAGGAACAAGAATGCAGACAGTTAAGAGCACTTGTTCAGGATCTTCAAGGTATGGTTATTTTGCACTTTTCATTCATCTTGCATGATCTCGTGCCATGCATGTTACATCTTACATGTTGATTTTCCATTATGTGTCTGGAATTGAACTGCTAGTTTTGGGACCATTATTGACTTAATCTTAAAGCATAAATCAGCTAAGGGGGTTAATTACAAACTAAACAGTCCAAGTTTTGCATGTTAGCGAAGATGTAAATTGAGGATAAAGTTAAACCAGTTTCAACTATGGAAAAGGGCTGAACACTATAGTAGAACTTCTTAGTTTGGACTGGTTCTAGGAGAAAGTCATTTTTTGGAACTTATGTAAATCTTTTTCCAGAGGGCCCTAGCGTGGTATGGTCTTGGAGACAATAGGAGCAATTTCAACAATGCTCTTATACAGAAAAATATAGCTAATATAAGAGTTCTCGTTATGACACCCACCGTTTCCATCTAAACAGAATGTCAATTGAGCAAAGTTATCTTTAAGGCTTCTCAAAGTAAGAGTGACAAAAAAACTGGTGGATAGTTCAAATATCTTGCACGAGATGCTATTTAGAACTACAACTGAGTTGCCTTTCACTTTAGTTGATCCTTTTGTCTTTAATCAATTTCTGCATGTGGAATTATCTTGATTATTAATCTTCTGTGTTGCAGGGAAAGGTCTCGCGAAATTGATGGGTGATGTACAGGTTGAGTGGCAAGAAATATCAAGTTATCTAGTTTCCTTATGATATTCTCTTTACTCATGTTCATTGAACCTAATACTAAATGAACAATCAGGCTCCTGTAGCAGCAGTTGTAGTGATGGCCTGTAACCGTGCCGATTACCTTGACAAGACTATCAAGTCTATTCTAAAGTATGATGTTTTTGATTTAGCGTATTTAATTGCACTTATGCATCTCAGCATCTGACAAACCTTCATGCTTATAGATATCAGAGTCCGGTTGCATCAAGATATCCTCTTTTCATATCACAGGTACCTGAAATAAGATTTCCATTTGCACTAATTCAGCACTCCTATCATACAGCATTGCTTATTCCCAGAGTGAGGACGCCGAGGAGGTGTATTAAGATAAAACTATTATTCATTTTGGGCAGGATGGATCAGATCCTCATGTTAAAAGTAAGGCGTTGAGCTATGATCAGCTAACGTACATGCAGGTACTTGCCTTTTTCATTTAAGCCGGATGTGTAGCATCGCACAATACTAGCTACCGAGGTGACCCAATTTACGAGACATATTCTTTAATAATCCTATCACATTCTACCTACAGCCATTACAACTTTTTGATTGAGTTGCTGAAACATAAGTTAAGGAATCCCTTGACTGCCCAATTTCTTGTCATAAGACTATTGTTTCCTTGATGAACTATAAGAGTTCTGATATATTGGTAGTATTTAAACAGCATCTGGATTATGAACCTGTGCATACAGACAGGCCTGGGGAACTGATTGCATACTACAAGATTGCACGTAAACTATTCCACTATGTGGTTTCTTGTTCTTAGTCATCTATTATATTGGATACCATTGTTCTTGCCAAGCATAATTTACATGCTTGCCTTTCAGGACATTATAAATGGGCACTGGATCAATTGTTCTACAAGCATAATTTCAGTCGAGTGATCATCCTTGAAGGTTCGTGTACACTTACTTTCATTGTATCATAATTGTTTCATTTGCCTCTTTTTCTATTGATTTGACTTAAAGCCTTCAATATTCAGATGATATGGAAATTGCTCCTGATTTCTTTGACTATTTTGAGGCTGGAGCTAAACTCCTTGACCGTGACAAGTGAGATTTTAGACTTTAAGATCTTATTGACTGTCTGTCCATTTATTAATTTTGATTAAGTTCCATCGCTTGTGTTAACTGTGACTTGGATAGATCCATTATGGCGATATCGTCATGGAATGATAACGGGCAGAGGCAGTTCGTTCATGATCCTTGTAAGTCAACTGGTCCCGCGGCAGTGATAAAAGCTGCTACAATAATTGTGCCTAGGTAGAGGCTAGCATATTTCTAGACCTAATGAAGGATTGCCATGTAGCAGTACTTGTTTCTGGACGTGATCTTATCATTCACAATTAATAAATATAAATAATCTTCAATATGTAGATATATTCTACGTAAATCAGCAATCGCGATATGGTCTTTGGTTATACTAAAAGTTTAAAGGTTAAAAATTTGCAGTAAAAACTGAAAAGAACCCATTTAGGGCGTGATTGGATATGAATCCAACCGGTTATG